GTGTCATGAGTGTGGACATGGATTGGAACATCGGGATGCTTGTCGCGGATGGCAGTGATCAGCAGCCTATAATTCAAACAGATCAATGAAATATATGCTTACCAGCAACGAATTGTTTACACATACCTAGCCGACTCTGGCTTCAACAGGCCCGCCATGTCCTTGATGCAGAGGACGTGAGTGCCCGCCTTGACGAGCTCGTCAGCCAAGTTTGTGTAGTACTTGAGATCGTATTTGGTTCTCTTGGGATCTCCCACATCTCCGGTGTAGGAGATGGCCGCCTCTACAACTCCGCCTGCCTTGCCTGCTGCCTCCATGCCGAGGATCAAGTTGGGCAAATAGTTGAGGGAATCGAACACTCGGAAAATGTCCATGCCAGTTTGCACCTAAAAGAGATACATAAGTATCATTCATTGTTATCTCAATAGGTATAATACAATAACTTACCGCTAGTTCGCAGAACTTGTAGACCACATTGTCTGGGTAACTGGTGTATCCAACGGCATTGGCGCCGCGCAACAGCATTTGGAATGGAATGTTCGGAATGCGCTTGCGCATCTCCTCCAGGCGCTCCCATGGGCACTCGTGCAGGAAACGTAGAGCTACGTCGAATGTGGCTCCACCCCAGTTTTCGAGCGAGTACAGATTGTTAAACTTGTGAGCCACGTATGGCGATATTTTGAGCAGGTCGTGGGTGCGCACACGCGTGGCCATCAGAGATTGATGGGCATCACGGAAAGTGGTGTCCATGAGGAGTAGGTTCTTTCGGGAACGCACCTCCTTGGCAAATGCTGCGGGACCTTCACGCACAATGATGTCACGCAGACCCTGTGGTGGCTCCGTGACTGTGTCGTAGAGTTTATCAAAATTAGAATTTGGTTATATATAATAGACACATGCACTTAGAAAGCTAAATATAAAGCAGTCCAAAAATACGAACAACAAAATTTTAATTCAAGCCACCAAAAATAACTATGTGTATATGTGTGTAGGCGTTATGCGAAAACCAATAAAAACCCGTTTAAATAATGTGCTTGAGTAAACTGTGTTTACGTACAGTATGTACCTAAATGTACCTAAGTGTACCTACAAGGTACTAAAAGGTTGGCAATTTTTTATGTAAATGGAAGTTTGATGATATAATTTATTATTGGTTACTGATTATCGTCTAACATTAATAATAATTTTGAAAATTCATCCAATACTTACAACCAATTTTGGGTATTGTATAATTAATATGAGCAAGCGCTTAAATTTTCTGCAATATTTTCCAATTTATGCTAAAAACGATATATTCATTTAAAATCGAACCCATTTGTTTGTATACCATATTTTCCCTTAAGCATATCTGAATAATTTGTATACTAAAAGATTTGCCCCAACAATGTTAAGATGATAGAAATTCTAAATAGAGCGTAAGCTTCGTATATATATATTAGGTTGACATATATAATACTTATATAATACTACCTAATTAGCATTTTTATATGTTAATCCAAGCTAAGGACGAAGCTCTCAATATTCTCCTGAATTGAGTAAGTAAAGTATGCTAGTATTATATTTGGTAGCCCATTTATATAATATGTACTATATATGTTTCATAAAAATTTAGCAATAATTATGTATTTACATATGAGTTTGATCAGATACGATCGGGGCAGATGATATATTAAGAAGTGCAGCGTTAAACGTACCTTTTGCCCCGCCTCTCTTTTCACGTTCTAAGGCTTCCGGGGACAGATCTTCAGTGGAATGATTAGATCATGACAACATTTCGTTTATGAACAAAGTGTGTGTAAAGGTGTGTAGGTGTGTGTGTTTGTGTGTGTGTGTGTAGGACGATTGTTTTTGCATATGGTAATTGTTGCAAAAGCAAAAGTTTGTTTTTTTTTTTAGAAAGAATAAAGTAAAAAGAAATGCAAAACATAAATTAAACATATTAATGAACGTATATATATTAAACGAGACAGGTGCTGTTAAGAAAAGGAAAATGACTTCTAGTAAAAGTTAAAGTGTTTAAATTGAATTGTAAAGAATTTTGAATATATGAATTGGCATCAATTTAGTTTTATCAGATTGAACTTTGATGAATTTTACTTTAACTTTTAGGCAGAAGTTTAAATATTCAAATAAAATCAAAGTTAAACAAATATAAACAACTTCTATTCAAAACTGAAAATTTAAATAACTCTGACTTGATATCTATTTAGCAATCTTCGATTTTTATATATATATATATATATATATATATATATATATATATATATATATATTCTATTATTATATAATTTAAAACTGCATGCCAATTTAAATAATCAACAACTGGACTAAAGTCCAAAGAGTAATATTTTCTAATCAATAACAAATTTTGTTTACGTAAGAATTTTGAAATTTTCTAGTGATTTCTCAAACAAGCTTTAGATTGAAAGAGAAATGAAAAGAACATAGAAGGTTTTCCAATTTAATGAACCAATTTGATAGACAACAATATCTGAAAGGCAAAAGTTATCAAGACTAAAAGCTGAAACAATAACTAAAGCGACAGCCATTTGATAGCCACAAATCCGAAAAGCGCATGCCTTGAACCATCTCAACAATTGCACTTACCCAGCGGCACCTGTGGCACATGCGGA